CAGGAAATTACAAAAATCAGGAGATTCTTTTTATTCTTGTTTTTCAACCTTTAGGGTATAAGCTTTTCTGTGCAGTGATTACAGATAGAAGTTTTTTTAAATGGATACTGTAATTTTTCAGGTATTCCCACAATTTCAGCAATTGGGCCTTTAAGAAAACCACCATTCATGCGAGATTTGAGATAAAATCGCTGGCGTTAACAACACAGTAAATTATTCTTTACTCATGATTATTGTAGTTAACATTTTTTGTGCATGATCCAAAGCCCATGGATATAACCAGAAAGACTCCTATTGTCTTCAGTGAACTTTTGTTTGCAAAGCATTTTGCAAACAATTCTCCAATCGCAGCCTTATCACTACCTGCTGAACTGTTAGGGAAAGAAACTGTTGGTTGTACTGTGTCTCCCACTCTGAGGCTTTGTCTACACTACAAATGCTTTGCCGGTATAGCTATCTCAGCAAAGCCCGGAGTGTAGACTTGGTTTATGACAACAGATGTTTTTCTATCGGCATAGTAACACCACTGCCTCAAATGACATTAGCTACGCCAACAGAAGCACTCTTCTGTCAGCATAGCTGCATCTATGCTGGGGTTTTTGTTGGCATAGCTCTGTTGGGTAATGGCTGTGGAGTTTTTACACCCCTGACTGATATTGTTATGCCAACAAAACTTTGTCTGTCATACTGGACTTAAAACAATCAAAGAGAACGTTCTGTGTGATAAATTATTTCATAAGTTCAATTAGGGGAAGAAACTGACTGTGACCTCTTAGGGTGCTAAACAGTCAAACTGGAAAGTTTGTTTTCTTCCTGGGAGTTGTGGATAGATTACAAATAGTAATTTACAAAATATAATGGCTAACTGAAACTATTGGTACATAACATTTGTAGTGTCATAGATAGCGTTGATTTCACATCAAACATTCCATAATTTATTTTAATAACTGTGAAACGCCTTCAGCAATAAAGTTAGATTCTGATGAATTGAATGGAAAAAAAGCAATAGTTTCCATAGCAACTGGTAGTGAGTGGCAGGGAGCAAGTACTCTTTCAGTTATTGCTAAGCAATGGATGAGCAGGTACAAAATTTTTGCCTTTGTTTATAAGCCATCTGCATTGGTCCCAATAGAACAAGTGCTCAGTGCACGGGAAATTAAAGGCTGTCCATTATATCTGGTGATGTCTCGACGTCTCTTGTGGCTGTATAGTCCAATCTATAAGGAGCAAGGTCATAATCAGATGTCACATAGGAAACTAGCAAGTAGAAAATTGCCTATTTTGTACTATCTTGCTTTTAGAATTGTTCCTTTATTTTTATACTCTGCTGCGAACACTGATTCTACTCAATAAATAATGAACAGTTGGAAAACAATTAATCCTGACTTTAGGATCTAGTTAAATCAAGACACTGATTTGTTTTAAGATAATATAAGATTAGCTTTTTCTCCTGGGGTAAAAATAATCCATGCTTTCAGTGGACAGGTGAAAACACTTTTCAAAAAGCCAATTTTTTTTAGACTTCATAGAAATGCCCCTCTAACAGAGCTGTGAATTTCAGAGGTGCTGAGTACCCAGAATTCCAGTTGAACTCAGTGGGAGCTGCACTACCTTACAGGTAAAGTGCTTCTGTTTTTAGATTAATGAAGCCATAATACGTTTCTTGTTGAACCTCCATGAGGTTGCATTTTGCATGATCATAGGTTCTCAGATATTCCTGAACACTGGTGTTGTGGAATAGGAATATCTCTGATCAGTGCAGCTTTTGTGCTGCAAAACTATGCAGTATGGGACCCCACTTCATTTCCCATTCAGCGAGAAGAGAGATGATTTTACATTGTTTTAATGGCTGAGAATTGCCTAATGCAGACCCCCATCTTTTTGAAGCCTTCTGAGATCACAGCTAACCTTAGGCTGTGGAACAATTTTGTATTTTTTATATACATTTATTTCTATTGCTGTAACACTCTGTTAGCTGAGATACTTCAAAAATAACATACAAACATCCTTGCCGGTGAAGGGGAAGAATAGTTTTTAATGAAACTTCTTGAAAACACACAATTGGCACTTCCCAATCAAGATTTTCTAAAGGACTAATATATAACACCAGTCAGTAGGTCTCAGGCTGTGGCTTGTGTTTTAGTGGTTCATAAAACAAAAGATTAAGAATCAAGCATTTATAATGTTGAAGGGAAAGTAGAGGATTAGGAAGGGGAGAGGTTGGTTTATGCGGGACTATATGTGGGAGGTGGCTTGTAGCATTAGTGTGTACCAGATAATTGCATTATCAGAAAAATATATTTGGCACAACAGGGATATCTTGGGGGCACATCAGAAAAAGCCAGTAGCTGCACAGATGCCCCTTGTATGTTCTACAAGAGTAATCCTATGTTCATTAATCTTTAAGGCAACTCCCAATTTAAACAAATATATCAGTATCAACTATTTCTAGAAATCTTTAAATGCAGGGTTCTCTCTAGTTACTTTTTCTTTTCCCTGTAAAGTAGTGGTGGGCAGCCTGTGGCCATGGGCAGTCTGCTAAAATCCTGGCAAGTTCTTTGAGTGTCATTACCACAGGCCTTGTTTTCATCGGAGTGGTTTGGCTATACAATAAACCTCAGCTCAAACTTTTTTGAAGAGGGTTGAAAACCTTTATGATTTCAGGCTGGGTTTTTTAACTAAAACTGACTTAGTAAGAGCATTGGTGTTTAATGGTAAATTAAAATGCATATTAATGAAAAGCATTATACTTTTTTTTTTTTAAGGAAAATATTTTGATGATTGTACCTTTCTCAATCAAGGTGAACACTGGCATACAAGAGTGAACCACACAAGTGTTTCTCTGATCATTGTGTAGCAATGTTTCTGAAAGTTGGGTTTTGGGAAGTATATACATCAATTATGCATAAGCAGTAAGGGAAGGAGTGTTGAACTGAGCTGAAAATATCCTTGAAAGCTTTTGTGTTTATTTTATTGGCTTTATATTTGAAATTTGTTAATATTGTCAATTGTCAGGCATCGTGTATTTTATTAATCGGGTGCTATTGTGATACCACTAACATTGTTTTCCCTTAGCAATCAAAAGAACTTAACAATTTGCTGGGATCAGTTCCCCATTGTAATTTGATGTTAGCCTATTTTCTGTGTAACTTGTGATACATTTGTGTGAGTGCCTAACTTTAATGTGAAGGTTTATAACATTTCTTAGCTACAGTTTTAGTATTCTTCTCTACTCAAGTAGAAATTCCATCAGTTATTGTACAAACCAATAATAATATTAAATCTTTCTAGAAGAAAGTAGAAAAAAAATCAAGTTTGTGTTTTTCAAGATTATAGGTCAGCATGAGCCAGAAGGTTTTAAATTATGGCAAACATCCATCTTGGAATTTTAACCAAATTCAACCCATATAAATGTAATAAGTTAAACCGCTTTTTTTCAAGGTCAGTATACATTGTAAGCATTGCACTATGACTGCTTTGGGCTGTGTGCTTTCCAGCTGTGATTCATATTTCATTAAATACACCTGAGTTTGGCATAACATTTTAGTTTCTGTTGTTTTAGGACTTCTCTGTCCAAGAAAGCTGCATTGATTTAACTTAAGGGTGAATTTAAATCCATATCGTTAAACCAGTTCAAACAGCTGTTTGGACACTCTTATTTTGGTAAAGAATACCTTCTCTTGGGTTAGCTTAAGTCAGTTAAGAGCAGGTATAACTAAATTGAAATAAGCCATTCTTATATCAATTAAAAATAGCCAAAAAGCCTTTTACGTTGGCTTAACTATATCAATTTAGAGACTGTTCTTTGGTAGCTGGCAAATCTCATGTCACAAGTTGTTGTTTTGGAACAGGAGCCCGATACCTCGAGTTATGAAATGGGCTGTTGGATTTCGAGTGTGTAGGTATTCAGTGTGGCTGAGTGAGGAAAAGAGGGGAAAGCACTTTGTTTTCATTCCTAAATCCCATACCCAGAAGTGTGCTGGAGTTCTGGTATGACATTTTAGGGCTTGTCTACTTGGGAGATATTTCCGGCTGTCCCAGTATAATTAAACCACTCTAGTTATACTGGTCTAACTCCCACATGTGGACACTCTTATTCACAGATAAGAATGTTTTTGTTTTTCTTCAGTTTAGCTTAAACTACTTCCAAAGGCACATAAGCTAAACTGGAAAAAGGCTCTCTCTTGTACCAGAATATGGGCAGTTATACTAGTATAACTGTAGCGCTTTAAATTCACACCCTAATTTATACTGTTGTAACATTGCCATGTAGTCAAGCCTTTAGTGTGTGAATGTGTTTGTATTTATGCTTGCTGAGTGAGATCACACACTGGATATGGACAGAAAGCTGTGTGTAACAGTCTCAGGGAGCCAATCTGTTTTACAAGGTGTTCAGGGAGTTCATATGAGGAGAAGCACTTCTTGTCACGTGCAAACGGTGAAATATGTTTCAAATCAATGTTTTTAATACAAATCTGCATTTCTGAGGCTACAGGGGGTAGGGTTGCTAAAAAGCAGTGTTTATCACACTAAGGACATAGAGAACTAATTCATATCAAGCCACTCTTATTCTGATGTAAGAGCATCAATACAGGAAGTTAATCAGGAATAGTTAATCTGTTTTAAATATGCACCCTATATTATTCCAGATTAAGTTTCCTGTGCAAACAAACTGTAATAGTATAGGGGGGAGTCTAGTGTTTTCAGACCCTGATTTGCTTTCCATTTGACTTTAATACCAGTTGAGTTGTCAGAAGGGCTTTGTACTGGAATCTCTCTAACCAAGTGTTTTGTACTGTATCTTTAAGCTAAACTGAGCTAAATACACACCAGCCTTCAGCTGTAGGGAAGCCTCTTACATTTCTCATTTCTGTACTGATCGTCTAACCTTTTTGGAAGAGAAGGACCGTGCTTTGTGTGTGGTAATGTGGAGTCATGATGCTTGTTAGAATAGGGCTCCCAAGGGGAGGAAGTGAGGAACCTGGCAAAGCACTCCCATCCTCCTCCTCAGAACCTGTTGTGCTGCTGCCCTTTACCTTCCTTTCCTTCGCAGGGTTCGGTTACTGGTTGTTGGGAGCTCGCCTGTTGCATCTTGCCCCAGGGGAAGGCGGCTGGGATGCCGGGGGGAGCTCAGAGCTGTTCATCACACAGCCAGACCGCTGGCCACGTGTTTCCCTGCAGCTAGAGCAAGTGTTGTCTGACTCGGGGGCCCCTCCCCCAAAACAATGTGCTGCTGCTACTGAACATCTGGAGAGGGCAGGTCCTCCGGGTGGCTGCTGGCATTGGAGCAGGCTAGCAGGGAGGGGGGCGCGCCCCCACTGCAGGCTCAGAGCTGGGTCCACCTAGTCCCCGGAGCCCCGGCTGTGGTGCTGCAGCTGCCCCTGCGCTCTGCCTTGCCTTCTCCGCCCCCCTTCCTCCCCTCCCCCATCTCCCTCTCCCTCCCCTCCCGCTTTCCCCTCCCCCTCGCAGTTCTGCAGCAGTCGGGGCTGGAGCACACGCCGGCTTGGCAGGCTCTCGGGGCCGAGGATGCGTTCGGGCTTTTGTTCCCATTGCGCCAGGCACAGGGGCAGGTGAGTGGGGGGTGGGGTGGGGGGCTAGCCGGGGCTGGGTCAGTCGCTCCCCTGTTGTGCAAGGGGAGCTGGGGGTGAGCCAAGCACCTGGACCGCTGGATCAGTGCAGTTAAAGTGAAATAATGAACAAAGCATCCTGCAAAATGGAGCCAGGGGAAGGGCTGGAAACACCCCCTCTCCCCCCAATCTCCGCTGCCCCCAGGCACCTGCGGGCGGAATTGCTTGGGAAGCCCATGAAATGCATCTCAATCTCCCCTCCTGCTGCTGAGAGCCCAGCTCTGCGAGAAGGGATGTCCAGAGACCGCGGGTGGTGGGGTGTGGAAGGGGGAATAAGGTATTGGGGAGGGGGGGGGAGGCTGTGCTGTGAGAGAGGCAGGCTGCACTCAAGGGTGGGGAATGAAGGAGTGATGGAGTTGGTGGCAGGGAGCACAGTGGTCGGAGAGGTGCTGCAAAACACTTTCCCCTTTTCTTCTGTCAGCTCGAGTTCAGACTCCTGCCGAAGCTTCTCCCTCTTCCCCCGCGCCGCATCCTCTCCCCAGATGTTCAGCCAGCCGGGGTGTTAGTGTCAGCCGTCTCTGGTGCCTGTGTGTGAACTTGCTGGCAAGGCTGCTGCCGGGAGGAGGCTGTCGATTGAGCCGGATTTAAAGGGGAATTGTGCTGCAGACAATGCTCAGCAGCAGCATCTGGAGCAGCCCTGGGGACCCAGCTACACATTGCTACACACCCAGCCAGGCACAATGACAGCAGCTGCCTGGAGCGGCTGCAGGCAGCAGGCGGGAGCATGAAGTGAAGGGATCACTGCAGTGCTCAAGATGAACTCCACCTTGGTTGGTAACCAGAGTGGGCGGCCATTCTGCCTCCTGGCCATTAGCTACTTGGAGACGGTCAATTTTTGCCTCCTGGAAGTGATTATAATAGTCTTCCTCACCGTGCTGATCATTTCAGGCAATATTATAGTGATATTTGTCTTTCACTGTGCACCTTTACTGAACCACCACACCACCAGCTACTTCATCCAGACGATGGCATATGCTGACCTCCTGGTGGGTGTGAGCTGTCTGGTGCCTTCTTTGTCCTTACTCCACTATCCCATTGTTTTGAGAGAGTCCTTGGTCTGCCAGGTCTTTGGTTATGTGGTATCTGTGCTCAAAAGCGTCTCCATGGCCTCTCTGGCTTGCATTAGCATTGATAGATACATTGCCATCACCAAACCACTGACCTACAATACTCTGGTCACCCCGTGGAGACTCCGCGTCTGCATCCTGATCATTTGGCTGTACTCCTGTGTAGTCTTCTTACCTGCCTTCTTTCACTGGGGAAAGCCTGGATATCATGGGGATGTGTTTCAGTGGTGCGCCGACTCCTGGTACACTGATCGCTATTTCACTCTCTTCATCGTGATGATGCTCTATGCCCCTGCTGCTTTCATCGTCTGCTTCACATACTTCAATATCTTCCGCATCTGCCAGCAGCACACCAAGGAAATCAATGAAAGGCGAGTGCGCTTCAGCTCCCAGGATGGGGAGGCTGGGGAGGCACAGCACTGCCCCGATAAGCGCTATGCCATGGTTCTCTTCCGCATCACCAGTGTCTTCTATATCCTCTGGTTGCCCTACATCATCTATTTTTTGCTGGAGAGCTATGCTGTCTATAGAAACCACACTGCATCCTTTTTGACCACTTGGCTTGCCATTAGCAACAGTTTCTGCAACTGTGTCATTTACAGTCTCTCCAACAGTGTTTTTCAGAAGGGGCTCAAGCGCCTCTCGGGAGTTGTTTGCGCCTCTTGCGCAAGACAGAGGGTAGTTAAGGACTCCTCAACCTCTAGGAGCAAAAGACCTTCCAATGGATGCCATGTCTAAGGAGCAGATCGCTGTGACTGGGAAATGCAGGCAGTCATGTAAATTGCAAAATAAGTTAAAAACAGTTTTAAGATGCCAGGTTAGCAAAAAGGTTTCTGAGAAATGCTGCTGACTCAAAAATCAGGAGCGTGTATTATTGTTTTCACTTTAAAATTTCATCATGGTGTTGGGGTAGATGGTGTGTGACCTCCATATTCATTTTAAGAATAAAGCTGTATCCTGACACTTTTTCTGGCATGACTGAATGTAGTGGGTGTGTGTGAGCTTCAGCAAAAATGGTGTGTGGTTTTTTTTTTTACAGCTTTACGAGGCTGTTTCAAGATTTATGCTCACATAGAAATGATTTCTCTCAAGTGGAAGTGTTACAGTATAATGGTGTATTGCAGGGATTTTTTTTGTGTATTTCAAAGCATATTGACTCTGTGTGTTCTTACACTGCAATATAAGGGGCCAAATGGTTTGTCTTTCAGCTCTACCTAGACAGAGCTCTAGAATATAGTGAATAATGTGAACACTTTAACATTAACTTAAACTTGTAATGAGCCATGAACGCAGCAATGTGCTCAAAACAGTGAGACACTTTTGAAAACTGATCTGGTCTCTGTGCCCTGTTTTACCAGTAGAATTCTTGTATGTGATTGGAGTACAGTATTTATATTTTCCTTTTTGAACAACTTGGATCAGACCAAAGTTAGCAGTTTAATAAAACATTTTTTATAAGCTAAGAAAAAATAGTTGCTGTTTTATGCCATCAGAATTGTGGCAGTGATTTGAGGATGATGCCTAGTTGTGAAAATTATTCTCAAAACACTGGAGAAAAGCTACTTCTGTTTGGAAGTTACTCAAGAACAACTTAAAAAAAAATCTGACATGTTTTTATCTAAATTCTTCTGATATTTTACATACTGGAACTTAAGGGGAAAAGGAAAGAAAATTGTTGTCTAACCAGCTAAGGGAGCTATGTTATAAATTTAACTACAGCATTTGAGTTATGGATAACTGAACACACAGCTAAATCAGGCATTTATCTTTAATCCCAGGAAGCCTAAAGAAGGTTCGAATATAGCAGGAGCTAATTCCTTTTGGCAAGCATCTGTCATAAACTGGTCAAACAAAGTACACTATCTGAGAAACAAAGTTTTCAGTGACAACTTTTTAGGGCTGGTTTAGAATGGAGGCTTTTTGTGTGCTGTAATGTCATCAGGAATGTACTGTGGCCCTCAACTAAATTCATTCTCTTTAAAAATGCCATTAACTCTTTATTGATTCATGGAGTGCTATTTTAGTAGCTAAAGTGTCTGCAAAGTATAAATTCTTAAAAGTAATGGATTATATTTTTCCATCTCAGTGTCCTCAATACAGGGATGTGTTGTTGTTTTTCCCTCCCTTCACATAATACATACCACAACCTATCTACAGCTCACTGTTGTCAGCATGCATCCAATCTCTGTGTGCAATAGGAGTGGGTTCTGGAGAATTCTTTGAGCTCTCCACGTGTGTAGGCATTGCAGTCAGTGTGTGCTCGCAGTGCACAGAGGGACTGAAGGAAACCTATGAGAAATGGGTTACAAGACTTCTAAGATCTGGAGAAGTCTCTCCAGCTCAAGGGAAAAATCACAGTTTGTGTTATAAAATATATTTAAATCAGATCTTGATTTTCTACCATAGTATGTCATTCATGATGAACACTTATAAAGATAACTTCCTCCTGTAGATCCTCCAAAATGTATGAACAAAGGCTGTTGGTAATCCTGATGCCTTTGTGGCCACTTTATTAATCATTATTTGTGTTATGGCGCACCTAGAAAGCAGGGCCCCTTTTGCTTGGCACTGTGCAATAATAAAACAAAGAGATCGTCCCTACCTCTAAAGAGCGTGATATCTAAATTTAAGGCTAAAGACAACAGGTGGATATGACTGACAGCAGTGGGGAGTTGAGGGTAACAGTGAGACAGTTATGAAAGATGTACGCAAGGGTTGCACCAGCTGGCTAATCATTCTCAAGTGTTTTGTAAGCATTATAGCATAGGTGGTTTTTAAGGAGAAATTTAAAGCTTTAAGTCACTAATATTTAGCATTTATGCTCAGTATTATTGAAATACCCCCTCATGCAAAACACCCCTGCTTTTCCATGGTTCTAAGCTGTAGTTAAATTTTCAAGTGTTTGAGCAGTTATAATCTAAGCATTAAAATAGCATTTAACATCAAGATGATTTATGTCAGATTTATCCACTGGGTACTAAAATCCATCACAGTAAGGTTTTAGGCATAAATGGAGGTCTGAAGGCAAATATTGCTGCATCTTTCAGTTTGTGCACCAGGAAGAAGCAGTTGAATGTTACTTAGTGTACAGTATATTTGGGAATATGTGAATTTAGCAAAAGTGGGGAATCTAAATCCTGACATTAGTATTTAACTTGTGCTGGAGAAGATACCAGCTTTACCCAGCTGGCCCAGAGCTCTATTCAAAATATAACAGTTTACAGCTGCAGATATTTTTAAAACTTAACTTGGGAACAGCTGAACAAGTCAGCATTACTCTGATGGCTAGAAGGAAGGTAGTGCAGCTGTGACTTACAGCTGTGAGATTCACTTACAAAGTGTTTATTTAAAAACTAGGCTTTTGCTCTCTCTCAATTGCCATATTCAAATCCACCGTCCGTTTCATTTTTATCTCAAAATCTTCATCAGTTAAGTTGCTTTTCATGAGATACAGGAAGCAAAACCTGGGCTTCTAGGGAATTAAAAATCAGAACAAATAGTAGATGCATCCTAGTTTCATATGCAACATCTTTCACAGATGCTTCTGAAAGGTGAAGCCGTCTCCTACTGCACGGTTAGCATTAAGCCGGTCTTGTCTCAGTTACATCTACTGTTTAAATTGTTTTTTAAATATCTTTCATATACTCCTTTCATGTGACACAATGGTAGATATGTATGTAGTTTAAAAGCTGCTGCACCAGATTCATATCACACATAACTATTGACTTCAGTGAAGTTACATAAGGGCTGAATCTGTCCCAGTGTGCTTGGGACCAAGTGAGGGAGAAATAATTTTACACTCTATTGCCTTGTTTTGTCAGTTCACTTAACTTTATTTGGTATGTAGTTGACATGAAGCACAGTGCTTGTTTTCAGGGACTGTCAGCGCTATTGAGGCTATGAACTGTTACAGAGCAGACTTTATAGTCAGATCGTTTTCATAGCTACATTTGAAAATTAGTCTTTGTGCTTGGCTAAACTTGTTTGAGTTCCCATAATACGTTAAAAAATAGTAAATACTGACTAGGATCATTGCACAAACAAATGTTGTGATGAAGGGAGCATAGATGTAAAAATTATTTGTATTTTTATGAAAATACTAAGTCTGCTATGAAACTTCCATGAGCTTAAATGGTTAAATGAATTGACTTTAATTTCAAATTTGTATCCGGGACTATAAATTCTATTTTTTATTAGGTTATCCAACTCATTTTCAGATCCAGCTGGGTGAGGGTTTATAACTTGTTTAATTACTGGATGGAACTCACTTGGCATCTTTGAGTCCCAGGGGAAGGATTTTCACATGCATAGCTTTTCAGAAAGTGACATAATTTATGTAGCTCATCCAATATTCTCATACTGAAAAAGAAAAGACTTACAAATGATTGGAAGTTGCGGTTGTGGTGTATTGCTATTTTAAAATAGCTTTGAAGGGAGAAAATGTGCAATTTGTTAATTTTCTAATTCAAATCCAGTGACAATTTTGTTAACATGGAGTTCCTTTCTAGGTGAGGTAAAAAGAGGATGATAGCTTTGTGCTATCAAATTCTGCATTTACATGTTGGTATTTCTTCACTCCCCGTTTTATAAGCTTAATTTACTAGTGCATGTTTTGTACTTTAGGGTCCTAATTGTTAGTAGAATTTCAGACTTATACCTTCTTTAGGTACTTGGCTTCCATTACTGTAGTATCTGAGCACCTCACAATCTTTAATATACTCACACCACCTTGTGAGATAGGGAAATAATCCATTTTACAGATGGAGAATTGAGACCCAGAGAAAATAAATGACATACCTAATGACAAACTGGAGGAGCAAAGAATTGAACCTGGGTCTCCCAACTCCCAGACCCTAACCATGGCATTATCATTTTTTCTTCTCCCTCCTGCTGCCCCCCGTTTTTTTTTAAATAGGAGTTTCACAGGTAAGATGCTCATCTCCTCAGAAAATGACAAATACAAGTCCCCGACTAACATCCTTCCTCTGAGAACACCACCAACTCAATACCCAACATTGATAAGCAAATATCCCTTGCTGTATTTGCAGACAGCCACACTATCCTATACATTGAACTTCCACAAGTCAAGAAAAGCTGAAGTGCTTCAACCAAGCAGTACTCCACCATCAGAGTTTACAGTTTGAAGTCAGTGGGACTGGTGCTCCGAAGTTACTAAAGTGCTTTTGAGAATCCAGCCCTCAGGAAACTGTTTGGGTTTGAGATTAGCTTTAAGTTTTCAGTTTTGAAAATTTTGGCCTGTGTCTCTAAAAGTTAATACTTTTGTTTAATGTATTGAAAGTCGGAATTAATTATTGTTAACCCCAAAGCCATTTTGTTTTGGAATTACAAAGACTTTGTCACCAAGAAGTTTAATAAAAACTTTTAGACCCTGATGCTGAAAACATGTATGCATGTGCATAGATGCATTGAAATCCATGGGGCTGTTTATGTGAGTAAAGTTATGTACCAGGTGAGGTGTTTGCAGGTTCAGAGCTTAATTTTCAATATTTTGTTTTTCACACTAAACAGTTTTGCAAAATTCAGTAAACTACACTACAGTAGTGGCCTTTAAAATAAAAAACAGCACTTATAATTTAGTTAAATATAAATTTTGATCTAAAATGGCAATAACACATTTTCAAATTAGTTTTACAAAACCTCAACCTGATTTAAATAAAAAAAAATCAATCTGGCTTGATTTAAATAGCTAAACCCTGTGCTATATGAAAAATTATGAACCCCACTTCTGCTGAAGTGCAAGAGATTGTAAAGGCCATCACTGTTTCTAATATTAGAAACCGGGGGATGAGTAGGAATCTTCCCTTCTTAGGCAACTTTGTGAAACTAAGATCTTCTGCAAACTCTTTTCCCAGTAAACGACAGTTTAGAGGCAGAGCAATGTGCATACTAGAGAAGAGCAGAAACTCTACCTTTGTGTTTTCAGTATAGAATTAATGCCTGCTCCCACTGGCTCAGTATGCCTGTGGCTCCCAACCTGTACACTGCGCTACTTTTCCATACACATCAATGAACAGTGTGTCTCCAGAAATCCAGCAGGTCTCTAGGGAACAATCTTCACATGGTTGGATTTAGGTTCCAGGATCTACTGTTGCTCATAAATGACCTCAGACAAGCCAATCGTGTGTGCTACAGTCTGGTATTCACTTCAGAGATTCTCCAGTTCTTTGTATCAATGTTAAGTGATTTAAATTAGGTTTGACTGAGCACAGTTTATAGCTCCTCAGCCTTAGTTATAGCTGATCAGATCGCTGTATCATCAAGTTTCATAGGCTGCCTCCAACAAGAACAATACTTCGTCCTTTAGAGGAAAGTGAAAATCCCCCATAGTGCGCCTAACCAGTTGTGCAGTGCTGTACATAGAATCATGCGACTGGAAGGGATCTTGAGAGGTCATCTAGTCCAGTCCCCTGCACTCATGGCAGGATTAAGTATT